GGATCAATGTAAAACTTTGCCCCTACTTTTTTGCATGAACTTTTAGTGTTTGGTTGATTTTTGGAACTGTATAGTTCATGTTGCCAACCCTAACAAAGTAAGGACTTATTGTGGTAATGATGAATTTGGTTCACTAAATAATTAAAAATATTTTGGTATTAGATTGGTTTATTGGTTAGTGTTTAGAAATGGACAGTCTACAGTTCTGCTTGAATGGCATGTAGCTGTTAACATCCATACTTATGTAGTCAATTTGTCTTTATATTTTCCTATTTATTCTTCGATTCTGAGTTTTGCAACTTCCAACTGTTACCTAGTGTGAATTGCAAGTTTCTTTCAACAATTGCAGCTCCTTCCCCGAGATCACCCAATGGAGGCGGAAGAACATACCTTGGACTAAAGAAGAGGAGGAAGCTCTAAAGGTATTTTTATTTTATTGCAATTCTGTTTTTGCTTTATTTTGTGTTGATTGCTTGTTGTTTTAGACTTTAGTTTACGGCTAAGAAAAAAATTCGGAAAAATGTTCTATAAATCGTTACGCGCTGGTCTGGCAGCCCAGTGCCAAAGCGGGATCTAAAATTTCATATTTTTATATTTTATTATTATTATTATTATATTATTATTATTATATATAAATATGCCTAATATTTAATCACCTAAATCAGATGTGCAGTAAATATGAGATAATGTACCACATGATTTTTTTGTAATTTGGACATTGCTTTTGAATTAGTTTGTTAATAGCTTACTTGGCATGCGTATTAATGGTTGCGGGCTTGAGTCTAAAAATACAGTTCTAAGCGCCTGTCCATTTGGCTAAACAATTTTTTGGACTGATTAGGCTAAAACCAGGTTGCCTAGCTGCAGGCCTGCAGCCTAGCGAGTAGCGCCTATGCCAACTTTTAGAACACGGAAAATGATTTGGAAAGGGAAATGATTTTTATGTTTGGTGTTGCCTTGGAAAATACAAAGGAAAAGAAAATTCAATAAATCTTTAATTTTATGTTTTGTGGCTTTATGAATAGAAACTTACAGAAATTAAATGAGTTCGAACAAATATGTGAACGTGATTGATTTAGTTCTAACTACTACTCATTACGGAGTATTTATTTTTCCTGCTACATCTCATTTCCATCCATATTTTCCCGCATTTTCTTTCCATAGTAATTTTCTGTATTCCAAATGGACCCTTAAGGTCTTCCCTCCTGCTAGCTCTTCAAATAAGTAACATACAAGGCTGCCATTTTTCCATTCCTATCCGTTTTCCACTTTCAACAAGCCAACATCCTTTTCTGTTCCATTTGCCAAATTTCTCCTATGGGTGCTTCTGTTTGTCAGAAAAAGTAAAGCACCACTTGTTCTAAGCAGGAGGCTAGTTGTTGACTCGTTGTAGCTTTTATAATGTATTGGTGCAGGATGCTGTGGAAAAATATAAAACCACCAAAAACAGAAATATGCCGTGGAAGGAGATATTGGAATTAGGAGCTGATCATTTCTGGAAAGGTCGTACTGCTGTGGACCTAAAAGATAAATGGAGAAACATATGCAAAGGAAGCAGCTCCAATGTGAAAGGAATTTGACTTCTTCATCACCATAACCGTCTTTGTTCTTCATTCAGCATTTAGCTATAAAAATTATTAGCCCCCACCCCACCATTTGTTTTGTCCAGCTATTCTTGCAATGTACATAAATACGCATGTCAAACCTGATAAATAATCAAATATTTTATTGCTTAAATTTACAGGTCTCCCAATTTTGTAAGGTTCCATTTTCTTAATTATTGGCAGGCCGATTCTTTGAAAGATTTTTAACAGTTACAAAAAATTGAAAATTTCCTAGTTTTTTGTCGGTCACTACAAGTTAAATGGCTCCAGAATTTTAATCCATATAGAGACCATGAAACTTGATTATATAGTACTTCGGGTTTTACTTGAAAAAAGATCTATAAGAAATTTTAATCACAATCACTCTTTTACGAAATACAGTCACATATTTTTTTATAAATAAAATTATTTTTTCATTCCTATTATATATCCTTAAAGGCGGTGATCTCCCGCTCGGCCATTAACTTGAGGAAGCAGGACAATGAAGGGCTGTTAAAGATGGCCAACGTGGATAAGATAGAAGATGTGTTGTCGCCTGTCGGCTACGGCGGAGCAGTTACGGAAATTGATATTGCTTTGTACTTTCTGACCGACTTCTAGATTCCTATCGGATTTCTTCTTCAATAATCTCATACGTAAATTATACGTTTTTTTTTTTGGATGAAATGTAAATAAATATTAACACCCAGAAAACTTTACATCATATAGACAAGATCTCCTAACCCCCTCCACCCCCACATAGTTGTGAGGGTGAAGAGAGGTTTTTCTTCGATCTAATCTATGGGAAATAACCAAGTATAACTACATGGCCCATCAAAATAAACTAAACAAAAACGGTGCTGCCTAAGCACGCACACAGATCGGAGGCTAAAAAATCTAAACAAAAAAGGGTGCCGCAAGATGCAGACACCCAGAAGCAGTGAGACCAACACCACGACACCCATAATATCCATGTCGCGGCCTTCTAGCTCAAAACTTCACCAATTCATGTGGGTAAATACTATATAGTATTTTATACACCACATGCTTGATTTTGGCGACCACTTCATCTTCAGTCTTCGTGCCTTCATCAAATCTAATGTCATTCCTTGCTTGCCAAATATGATAGACCACTGCACAAAAAGCCAATCGTCCTGCCTTGGCCTTCAACGTTGATCCCTTGCGTTTCTTAGAAATCCATTTGATTGCACTTAGGAGCGTATTCATCTGATTCTCAAAACCGATCCATGCCCTAATTTTTTCCCATACTCTGCACACAAAAGGGCAAAGAAAGAAGAGGTGTGGAATTGTTTCCAATCCACCCTTGCACAGATCACATCTATTAACGATATAGAGGTAACCAAGGCTATCCTGTGTAGGGAGCCGGTTCCTCAAAGCCAACCACACAATAAAAGAGAATTTCGGAGGAATGTAGGATTTTCAAATGAAGGTCATCGAAGTCCTAGGGGTCCCTCTTATTCTTAGAAGCTCATATACTTTACCCGACACCAATTTACCATTGATGCATCTTGCATTTAGACCAAGAATGGTCTCATTTAGGTTATTAAAACACCCTCGAAGTCTATCCCGAATGAGACCTAACCTCTTCATAAGCTGAGAGTCTCGGCTATGTGGGACAAAGTCCCACACATTTTTATCACGAAGATATACGCCATTAATCCACCGAACCCACAAAGTATCTTTCTTCCTGTGAACATCCCATAACGTGCGGGCAAGTAGACTATCATTCCAGACTTTGGCATTGTGAATGCCAAGTCCACCTTCCTCCTTTGGAAGGCATATGTCATCCCAAGCCACCTTGGAGTACTTTCCACCCCATAGGAAAATTCTACAACTTGACACTATCCTATCCAGTATGGTTTGAGGAACCGAAAATATTTGGAGCCAAAACGATTGGACCCCTTGAATTACCGATCGAATTAGCTCAATTTTGCCGGCATAGGATAGTGTTTTTGTATTCCATGCTTTTAAAAAATCATTGACCATATCGAGTAAAGGTGCATATTGTGCAACTGAAACCCTAAGTGGAGCAAGAGGTATTCCAAGGTATCTTACCGGAAATACGCCTTGCCCATAATCAACAATATCCAAAATGTTTTGGAGTTCTTGATCCCTCACCCCAACGTAAATTATACGTTGAAAGTAGGATAGGGAAGGTGGGAACTGTTGCACGAAGTCTACCCTCTTCAACAGGAAGTCTTGCCTATAGGAAGTCTACACACCTGAAGAAGACCTCAATACCTTTCATATACCGCAGCGGGAGGACGCCTTCAATCCACATATGAAGAGCGACTTCATGGTGTTAAGAGCGACTTTGTCGGGTCTCATCCTCTCAAATGCGCATATGAAGAGAATAAGACTTCGCTTTGCCTACGAGGATGGAGTTGGAACGCCAGATCATCTCCAGGTTTCAGGGTCATATTGGACTATTGGAGTAATACCCTCTTCCATGTTGGTTTAGAAGTAGTGCTGGACTCGGGCCAGGCGGCCCGACCCGGAACCGGCCCGGCCCGCCCACTGTAGCAACCGGCCCGGCCCGGTGGCCCGGTCCACCGGCGGTTCGGGTCGAACCGGCGCGGTGAATACCGGTTCCGGGCCCGGGCCCTCCGTTTGGTGAACCGGCCCGGCCGGTTCGGGCCCGGTCCGGGCCGGAATTAATTTTTTTTTTATTTTTTTTTGAATTTTTTTTAATTTTTGGGTTGGATTAGGTATTTTGGACAATTTGAGGTGGTTTGGGGTTGAGGGGGAGGGGGTTAAATAAGAGAAGCCAAAAAATCCAAAAAAAAATATAGGGCGGGTGAACCGGCCCGGTCTGGCCCGGAACCGGCCCGGAACCGGTCACCGCCGGTTCGGGTCCGGGCCCTCCTTTTGGTGAACCGAGGCCCGGCCGGTTCAAGGCCCGAACCGGGCCCGGCCCGAACCGAGTCCAGCCCTATTTAGAAGCAATGACAGGAGGTCAGGAGCTCTGGAAGACTTCGGTTTTGAGGACTACCTGAATGATTCAAAGGAATCTGTGAGTCTTCGTCCATCTAACTTGCATCAAGGAATGGAAGTCAGACTCAGTGGTGGACTGGTGGGGCAAATGCCGTCAATGGCGGCTACAACAAGGGCACGACTTTGGGGCTGCTATTGCAACATTAAAGCATAGCTCCAGGGGTAACTTAGGTATTGGAGCTATTTTTATTTATTACGGAATAATATTTATTTATTTTACTGTGAATAGTAATCCGAGGGTTGTGACTTGTGAATAGAAATATCCAGGATCTTTTTTTGGGGCCTGATAAGCTTGATGAGCACATGAATCAGACAATCAGTGAACAAAAACCAACACATTGTGGCATTGTGGATCTGATTTTAGGTTGCTTTAAATAATAATAATAATAATAGTAGTAATAATAATAGCAACAGTAACAAACAACACTAACCATAACAATAGTAATAATAAATGAAAGTGATTGTCAACAGGTAGCAACTTTTTTTACAAAAGAATGACAATTTTTTATTTCTAGCAAAATTGTGGAGCCATTTTCTACATCTGCATAATAAAGACATCATGTCATTTTCTCGTTATAATATACATTCTCTGGGCAACCCAGACTCTTTTCCTGTCTGAGCAACTTGTCGTCTCCACGGGTCATTGTGTAGCTTGTAGTGCAACACCTTGAAAAAAGGAAACATACATTCATCAACATGCAACAGAAGCCAATATCAGAAACTGAGAAAGAGTGCTTAATAAGTTAATAGTGTGCCTTTGGTAGCCCAAATGGACAATAAACCTCAAAGCACCAAACATCACCTCCTTGATTGGCTGATTTAAACCACACACAAAAATAACATCCTAACACTTTATTTTTAGGTTGCTTTTAACTTGTCATTTTCTTTATTGCCTCAAAATATATACTCGTATATTTTTATTACTCCGTATTTTACATGTCCTTTTATCCTTTTATGTAATTACACCCAAATCAGTCATTTCACCTAAAAAAAATCACGGAATACTAAACCTACTCAGCAATTACCAAACAAAGCAGTTAGATTATGTGAGCCATAACGCTTAGCCCAATAATGTATAGTTAAAAACTTTAAATAGCATCTTTCAAAGCAAAAAAAAAAACCAGAGCACATAATTGCATTTTGACTTTTGAGAACCAAAACCCTTGACAGAATGATAGGGATCTACCTATATTAGGAATTGGGCCTAATAGACTGTTAGAGTGTTAGCAATTGGGCCTATTTGAGCAAGAATAATAATAAGTGTATTAGACTACTATAAATAGAAGGAAGGCTGGGAGGGGAAAGCAGGCTTTTGGACAGTTTGTCTTGGGACTTGGGAAGACTGAGGCTAATAATCTCTTTCTTTGGGGGCTTCGGCCATATTGGGGGCTTCGGCCATTGTTACTGGTTCATCGATAATAAAATTTCTTTGTTTTCTTGATTCTGTTTTACAATTTCTCCTTGGATTGTTGAGAATTCTGGAGGATTCTATCACAGAATAATACACTCACCTGTATGAATGTAGCAAAGACATCATCTTCGTTTAAATGTGAAAACTGGTCAGCCCAATCCTCAACTTTCCCACGCAAAGCCTTCTGCCTCTCAGCTTCAAGTAGGACAGAATCACGGTATATGAATCTCTGCCATATTTTCTTCACATTTGCCAATTTGAATTCTATCTCTGTCTCATTTATGTTCTGCACAAAGTTGATTAGCTTGATAGCCTGAACACATTTAAACAAATGTGTATCATAGTTTCAATTTTCAAAACATAGTTGCAGAGCAAAATTACCCGAAGAATGTTAATCATGCTTGGAATTTCATCTTCATGTATCCTAACAGCAAAGCTTTCGTAGTTAAGGACATTCTCATACGGAAGGTAAACACCATCCTGAATGCAGGGAAAAAAGTCAGTATAGGGTTTGTTTGGGGAAACTACAAAAACAAAAAAATCTCGTTTCCAGTAATTTCCAAATTCAAATTTTGTTCTCAGTTCTCACAAACCAAAAAATAAGAAGAATACTGCCGCATGTGGTTTCTTGTTTCTGAAGGGAAAAAACAAGAATCAGAACAGAAAAACTAAACAGCAACAAACCCAAGAATAGGATACCAAATTTATTAAATAAAGAAATCAGTTTTGGAGCACGAGTATGAAAACAATTAGAATATATGTTAACATAATATATATAATTTATTTGACCTGAATAACCACGGGAATGCACCCTTGCAAAATACTATCTTCCATCCGTCCGCTCCACCCATCCCCAGGCATAACTCCACAAAAGAGAGATGTTGCCAATTCCTCATGGTAATTATCAGCTCGCAGTGGGGTCACTACAATATCTTGTGCATACTGCTTTCCAAGCTCGCCTTTCTTGTTACGTGAAGATCCAAATTCTTCAGCCACTTTCTGTCTTATGCCCATACTATACCTGAAATGCATCAAAACCTGAACAATAAATTTCATCAAAATATAATTTTCTGGTGACTTAATATATCAATGTGGGTTCCTATTATGTAGCAGAGTCCCGTTCCTATCAGGAGTTCCTGAAGAGCAGGCCCGTGCGGACAAGCCCATGAGAGGGTCTTCCCGGTGGAATTTTTTAATGAAATTTTTTGAGCATGTTCTCCATCAAGTCTAGTTTATCCATACCAAAATTCAGCTCAAAATTTGATCGGGAAGACAGCCAAACAAATAACATACTGCACATTATAAGTGCGGAGAATGCGCAGTATTTTTCCAGAATTTATTCAACTGCCTTTCCGATCGAATTTTGAGCTGAATTTTGGTATGGATAAACTAGACTTGATGGAGAACATGCTGAAAAAATTGCATAAAAAAATTCCACCGGGAAGACCCTCTGATGGGCTTGTTCGCACGGGCCTGCTCTTCAGGAACTATGTATATGAACTGCCCTCTTATGTAGCATACGCAAGTACGCAACGCATACTTTCATCTGAAACATTATAATCCCGAAACTATATAATGAAGTATGACTCCATTAGTCCATTTGGCCCTCAACTTTTGTATTGGATTCCATTTGATCATTAACTGTGAAACTTGGAGTCAACTTAGTCCACACACATAGTTGGTTCTGATCAAGAAGAGATTTTCCCCACATTCAGTAAGCTTGGACCTAGTTATTTACTCGATTGGGCCCTCAAGTACATAATTGGACCTAAATTAGTCCTTAGTTCATTAAAAAAAAAACTCTTCTACTAAATTGAGTCTAAACTGCGTAAATCGAGGACCAAATTGAGTAAAAAGAAAGTTCAGGATCAAATTGATTAATAGTGTATAGTGAGGGACCAAATTGGTAATTAACTATTTAGCATACATACGTTGCTTCCGGCCTCCCATTTTCATAAGCAGGTCCGAGGTTTCCATTAAAATAAAATAGTGTCTTCCGTTCCTCCCGTGGCCTGCCCAAATAATCAGTCAAAATTTCTTTTAAAAGTCTATTCGAGAAAATGCTAGTCCATGTGATAAGATACAACATACAAGGCTTTTTAGAACAACTTACCTGGCCCAAAATTTAGCACTCAGAGAACCTCCATCAGGTCGCTTCCAAGCTGGAAGCACAAGATCTTTATTTGGGTCAAAGCATGGGTGGTTTCCCCTTCTGTCAGAAGAAATTGTATCCCAAGAATCCGCCAAATATGCTGTTGTTGAATGTTTATGTTTTGAGTTGGTGTTTCCCCAATGGACTAACATCATGCTGTTCCATATTTCCTTGGGGGCATAGCAAGCACCTTCATCCCAAGAAAAGAACTGTGTTGAGAAACAAAGGTTTTCATTAGCATATAAACTAAACTTTACACAAATTTCTCTCCTCCTTTCTTTAGCACTACATTCTGTTTATTTTTGAGGAGTAACACTTAAAACCCAACACATACCCATATGTGATCCTTGCCTGATGACTGGGTCCAGTAAGGGTATGCTGATGTAATGTGATCATAAGCCTTCTTATATAGCTCCAGAGTAAAGGAGCTCCTCAAACCCTTGTTTTTCTGATAAAAGACACTATAAAGTCATGTTCATGCTCGTGCATGTGTAAACTATTTGCCATACAATAGTGGAGAAATTAATTGCAAAAAGTTAAAAAATTAAACAACGTGTATATATAATTTTAAGCCTCTGATATAAGACGTAGGGAGTTGTTTAATCAAATGTGCTAAAAAAAAGTAATGTTTAATGACTATACATCCAGATGTTAGGGACTCGAGGGGGTTTGAGGGGTTAATTGCATTTACTTTCTCGTTCTTGCATTCATATTTAAAATTTTTCCAAGTGCCCTTAATATAGTCATTTTTTCCAATTTCTTTTTATTTCATTTCTTGTTATCTCGTCCACACCTCCCTATAAACTCTAATTTGTTTCGTTTTATATTGCAGAACAATATAACTATAGCTTTTGCAATATTACGCCTGCCAGTGAATTCATTGCCGATTAAAAAATCCAACGTCAAAAATCATAAAAATGAACTCACCACAAGATAAAATAATAAAATGCCTTGTATATTGATTTTTTATTTTACTTTTAACATTAAACTGCTCTGACATATGTGTGGTTCATTTTTAACTAACTCAACAAAACTTGTTCCTTCTTATGGATGGTTGCTATCACCCATTAATCTTACCTCCATGGACATGTGAGGGGCATCATCAGCACGAGTTATAATGCATGAATCAAGAACCGGAACAAAGAAAAAATCAGCTTCTTCACCATTCAATGTCCGATGAGGGCTGGCTAATATACTTTCATAAAGTGCCATCTAGAAAAGATTGAGAAGAAAAACCTAAGTAAGAAGCATGTATGAACTTCTTGAGACAACATCAAGCATTGGCATATACCTGTGCACCATATAGCATATCTGTCCATATTGTGGCATTGTTTGGATCATATATTCTGTTTACGCATTCCAGTTTAAAATGGCGTCCCTGTGTAAGGCCAAAAGGTCAAACACAAAATAACAGAACCCTTTTAGCTAAGCAACTAGTGCCAAACTGGTGGCAGAAAGTGTTCTAACCTCCAAGAGAAGACTGTTATACTCTGGTGGCAAATCATAAACATAGATGAGTGGCCTCCTTTTTTCCACCATAGCTTCAACAGTAACAGGGTTCAAATTGTTTGGAATGGTGACTTTGGCTGGTCGAAGCCACTTTGGCCAGTCTATAATGGATGACAAGACAGAGGGAACACTGCAGTCTGTTCCAAACCATCCAATGTGACACTATAGATAAACATATATGTCATCAATTGCTAAAACGTATGTGTTGTAGTGAAGAAACAAAAAGTTAAAATATTGTGACATGCCCTCATAGAATGAACTTGGATGAAGTTTGTGTTTGAAGGGCCAATGGTAAACTTAACAATAAATTGTATGGTAATACATGCAACATAAGAACATTATCTATTGTTCTGTAGAAAATTTCTAACAGCAAAGAGGTTAAATGAAAATAGTGCATGTAGCAAAATTTAACGTGTTAATTGTTTAAATGAAATTTGTCAACTTTTGATCCCATGGCTAAATGAAGAACTGTGTGTGTTAGTTTTGGATGCAACATTCATTCAATCCACTTTTTGGTGGACATATACATTTCCTTTATACTTTTGATCCTCTTAACCACTTACCCGGTCAATTTCTGTACACCTTTAACTTTACTTTCACCAGATAACTGACACGAAAGGACTAAAGGCTGCTAGAAATCCATAGTTGTGCCCAAAAGTGGAAAATGAAGGTGGGGTCCGAAATGGGACTGACCTAGTAGTCGTGGGACCAAAAATGGAAAGTTTTCGAAGTTCCTTATTTTGTGGATTCAAATAATAAACAATCTTTTGGAATAGACAATTTATTTTTGAGGGAAAACAACAATAAAGCACAATTTACCTGACAAAATCCACCTCGACATAGCCCATGGCCAGAGCATTGATTGATACAGGTGCTTAAAACAGGAACCTCACAGAATGTGCCCCAAAGTCCATCATACTTACAATTACACTCCTCTTTGAAATGGACCTTGGAAGCATATGCTTCAGCAGGGTCCACATTGCACCATCCCTGTTTGCTAGCATTGGTAGTGAATACATCAGGATCGGCTTTTGTCCAATCAGTCAAAACGGGACCACCGGGTTCAGATGGGGGACTGAAATCAATCATATAAGGAAGTAGTGTTTTCAGATTGGTATTGTAGGTATGGGTGGGCCCACATACTGCCAACATATACATGGGTGTGCTTACATGCTCTTGAAGCCGCATGCCTCTGCAAGAGGACGATTTGGGTATTTTGTGCCTTCACCACAAAAACACATTGTCCTTGTTGTGTCACAATGCGCTGGACAAATTGACACAACCCATCGCCCAAAAGGCTCCTCATTTGACTCTGGATAGTTGCATTTCAACTCCACCCTCTCCGAACATCCTTCATCTAGTAGTAAACTTAAAAAACTAAGATATAATACTAATATATGAATATAGCAATGGAAATCCATTAGCTTCCCCAAATTGCATATCAGCATATTTTCTTTTACATATTGCAAGATGTTAACCCTCCCTCATTGATAAACAAGATATATGTATGATGACAAGGGATGCAAAAACAGGCTAGAAAGGGGAAACTTGCAGAGATCAGGATATATACATAGGTTACTAATCTAGTACCATAAAGAGTTAATACTTGATTTAGTCCCTCAACTATACACTATTACTGAATTTGGCCATAAACACCTTTTAGGATTCAATTTGCTCATTGACTTTGCAGTTTGGATCTAATTTTATTGTACTGTTGACCTATTGTACATATTTTATTTCAGATAAAAAGGGCATTTTCATCCATAACTAAGCTTAGACCCATATAGAACTCAATTTGGTCAGCATCTATGTGATTTGGACCTAATTTAGTCTTAAACCAAAAAAACGACCTTCATCATTTGAGTAAATTATGTGAGGACTAAACCGAGTCCAAAAGAAAGTTAACGACCAAACAACTACTCCTATCAGGTTGCAAAGAAACAAAAATACAAAGCGAAGCTAGTTTTGCTACATGCCATACTTTACATCCTTTTAACATATAACCATGCACATCATCTTCTCAAATAATAATAGTAAAAAGCATGATGAATACTAACCACTGAAACCATGAAAACACCGACATTCACCAAGCTCGTGGTTACAAACTCCTTGACTGCTGCAATTATCTTTGCAGCTCTTCCCTCCGATTTGCTGTCAACAGCATGTGTGGTTTCATGAGCTACTATATATTTGCACTGAACAAGATATATTCTCACACACATTGATTCATATTTCACAACAAAAGAATGACCCTAGTACAAGATTGAAAGTGAAAAATAATTTCTTATATTACATTAGCGATCACCTCAACTATTTTCACTGATGCATTGGTTGAATCACATCCAGCTAACCACCGGCCAACTCCAGCCTTCCATGGAGCACCACGGTATACCACTGCATTATGTAAATCTTCAGGAAACTGGGCGTTCAGATCAAGAATAGGAGGTTGGCTTTCATTAGCAGTATCATTGACTAGTGGTAGATACTTTCTATCTTGGGAGGCCCGATCACCTATTTCACTACCAGACCCATGAAAGGACAGTGTACTAAAAGAGTCCAGAGAAGGAATGACAGGGTAGAGGAATAAGTGAACAACCGAAACCAGTATCACAATTGAAGCTCCGCTTGCCACTAGAGACCATGAGCATCTCCATTTCTGGAAACAGAACATAATCCCCCCAAATCAAAATCACCCCCTTTTTCACCTCTAGGTCAGCATTCCCACATTTATAAATCCTGTAAAAAATTCATGTTATTGATAAACCAGCTTGAGAAAAGTAAGCAATAGAGTTCTCCCAAGTCTCAAGTAAGCAAACATGGTGAAGAGACAATTCGCCAGACTTTTATTACAGAGGTTGAACACGTACCAAACAAAAAGTAAACTTTACACCAAAGATAATCACGCAACGTTTCTTGATACCGAAGTATATTCTTTGATTTCCTTCTAAATGAAAAAGCAAATGACGAAGAAATTGACTACAGATTTTTCAGAAAATAGAAATGCAATCAAATTATACGCAAAAGGAAGGAGAAGAAGCTGGTAAATGTGGGCCAATGGACCTGAACTGGATCTTCAAGAACACGAGTTTGATTCTTGGAATAAATAAAAGACTGCAAATGTGAAAAACAGGAAATATCTGTGCCCAAACGAATGCATAAACAAAAAATTCAATCTTGATATATTTCAAATGAACAAATTAACTTGTGATTACATACCCGCAGAGAAAATTGGTGTTTGGAGATGGAGAGATAGACAACTTACATATGGAAATGCAGCTAACACTCTGCTTTCAACTCCACCTTTTGCACAAATATATCAGACATGCATGTGGACAAACGAAATGTCACATTTCGTATAGAAGCAGCTAAGGTTTTGGCTGGACCGCTCGAAAAGGATATGTAACAGTCCTAACAGAGCAGATGGAGACCAGTGAAAAATTATGGAGTGATTTTGTTCACCTTTTCAAAGAGGCAACCCCTCTTTCCCGATCCAACTTTTATAAAAAAATACAAGTATATCAGATTTAATAATTATTTATGATCTTTCTAATGGTTTGAGTATTATATGTTTTCTTGGTATTTTAAAATTTTCAATACTTTTCTTTTTGGAATGTTTTTTTTTTTAAAGTTTTTATAATGTATTTAAAAGTTTATTACATTTTTCTTTTTCTTAATGTGTTTTTCTACTTTCACTATATAGATTTGCTTCAGATTTTCCAAGATATTATGACTTTATAATTGCATATTAGGGGAGATAAGCACATATACTGATATACTTGATGGGTGACCAAGGGATTGCATGCACCCAGTGGTGGAACTAGAACGAAAATAAAGGGGTGGCTAAAATTTGTAATACATTACATTTCAATTAAATGTTACTCCGTAGAAGAAGCCAATGGACTTAATTGTGTGCGGCGTGTCTACATATTTTGAAAACGTTACAAAATTGCTGCATTTAAAATTTTAAGCAATTAAAGTAATTAATCAATAACTTAGAAAAAACAAATTCAACTTTATAACAATTCAAGAAATTAATCTATTACAAAAAAAGAAATTAAACTAATTAATCAATAAACTTGCAAAAGTAATTAAACTTTAAAGCAAATAATCAATTCAATTGTAACTAAACCATTTAAGCATTTAAAGTAACTAAAAAAGATTTTAATTGTAAAAGAACTTACGGAGATTTGATTAAAAAGTCAACCAGTCCAAATGCTGAAACGCGAGGAGTCCATATGCGACTATGCGAGGGCGAGGCCGCGACTCGCGAGGGACTGACGGAGAGTTGGGACGCAGCCAGGGCGGCGCCGGCGAATGGCGAGGAGGGACTGCAAATAGGATGGCGCCGGTCGGGAGAGAGCAATTGCAATTCTGGAACGGCTGGAACTTTGAAACTTGGAAGAGTGGAAGCCAAGCCTCGAGCAGGAATGACGAATGGACGAAGAGGCGCAAGAGGTTAAAAGCTAATACGAATACGGAGTATCAGATTTTTATTCAAAACGACATCGTTTCACTATTTCTGTGCACTTATACAAAACGGCATCGTTTTGCTTTTAGACTTAATAAAAAAAACTACGCCTTTCATCGTTTCTCTCTGGTTCGCATCTCCGATCCTAGCCATGGCAGCAGTGAGGTATCAACGAAGAAGATAAGGGGGCGGCCATGAATATACCTAATACTACTGCTGAAAAAACTCCGGCGAAGGGGTGGCGCCAGCACCGGCTCGCACCCCCTGGTTCCGCCCCTGCATGCACCTACCTAATATATACATTCTAAATTATTAAAATCAAATAAAAATGCAAGTCTAATTCAAAATCTGAAAAAAAAAACTGGGAATGCTTATAGGTGCTTGTCTACTAGGTGCTTTTCAAAATTAGTATTATTGATCTTTATTGATCTTCAAAATAAGTATTAGTATTGTCCATGTTTGCCTAAGAAGGTGTGATTCAATGGATGCAACGTGTTTGTGGGTAGGGCTTGATCATGGCTATTTTGCTAAATTGAGCTTATAAGGCTGGTTTGATAAAATGCAAATCTTGAACATATGGTTCTTATAAAATCCATGTGATATGCTAAAGTGCAATTCTTTACTCTCGACAAAAAAACTAATACTACATCCGTCTTGGTGGAAGGTTAAATTATTATAAGTAAAATTTTTCTTTTTAATTTAATCCCTGAATAATTTTGAAGTAAAAATACACATTTCGATGTAAAAATAAATAAATTTCATTAATTTTTTTTTTTTACATTTTTCGGTTAACAAAAAATGAACTTAGTTCAAGTAAAGTTCGATTACGGAATATTAAGTTATTTGTGAAGGCTACACGAATAAAAAAATTGTGTTTTGTATTTTATTTTGGGCTCATGAAAATTTCAACAGTTAAAATTTCAGATTTTTTTTCATTTTATATATTACATATTGGTGTCATATGAAAGAGTATAAAACATTATGAATTTTGATATATTATTTTCTAAATTTGATTTATGAAAAACAAATTATAACCATTTTAAGAAAGATGGGGTTTTATTTTATGGAACCCACTAACTACCCACCACTCATGAGTCCTTCTTTTTGGCAAAGTAGCACTTCCACCGGAGTCAATAGGCCGGCTAAAATTGGACTCCTCCCTCCCCATCTCCATTTTTAGCCTCCTATAATGCTCTCCAATGTAAGAAAATAAGAGTCTAAAATCTCCACTTTTAGCATTTTAGACTCCTAATACCTTACCACTACAAATGGTCTGAGAGGGAGTACCAAACAATAAAGTCAACTGTTTTTTCTTATACATATATTGAATCGCTATTCTATGTTTATTCATATTTACATAGTAGTATTCGATTTTTTACTTATCTATATATAGAATCACTATTTACTTTTTTAGTTCTTTTACTAACAAACTACATTTTTCAATCAACTTTTAAAAGTATTTGTTTCACCTAACATTAAGGTAATGAAAATTTAATTATTTCACAATTCTGATTTGTTGTAATTAATATTGTTAACACACCATGAAAAATCCGGAATGGTTTAAATAAAAATTGAAGTTTATTTTATGTTGTGTCTTAATTAAATATGTTTATGTCTACCTTTATGGAAATATGTGTAGCAGGTCTGAATTTTTCACACACCTGGTTGCATTTTAAATTTAACTCTCTCGTATGTTTGGCATGTTAGGTTGTAGCTAATAATGTTAGTTAAATAAATTTGTATTATACTCTAGTGTTCTCTAGAATTCTCTTATGTAATTACTCCTTGTCTCCTTGTATTTATTAACATTGTAAATCATCATTATAAATAATGGATTAAGTCTCCTCAACTTATTCGAGGAACACAAATATTAACATTATCATGGTATCACCCTAAACAACCGACAGCCTTTTTCTATTTCCCAAGACTTTAACTCCTTCCTCAATAATTTATTTATTACTCTATGTTGATGACATCATTGTCACTGGCAATAATCCGGAGCTACTTCAACAGTTTATCTCTCACACTCATAAGGAATTTTCCATCAAAGATCTTGGAAAACTCAATTACTTCTTGGGACTTGAAGTATCTCACACTCCTACGGGCCTATTCGTTGGACAATCCAAGTATGCTCGTGACATTTTGGAACGTGCTGATATGTTGGACTCAAAACCTGTCTCCACTCCCTTAGCCCCTGGTATAGCATTAACCAGTGTCGGTCACCCCTTTTCTGATCCCACGCTTTACAGATCTATTGTAGGTGCCCTCCAATACCTGACGATCACTCGCCCTGATCTTTCATTTGCTGTGAATTATGTGAGTCAGTTCTTGAATTCACCTACAGAGGAGCATTTTCTTGCAGTTAAGCGCATCCTTCGGTACGTCAAAGGTACTATTCACTATGCTCTATCCTTTGATCATTGCTCGTCACAATCCATTACTGCATACTCTGATGCTGATTGGGCAAGGTGTGTCGAGACACGACGTTCTACCTTTGGTTATTCCATATTTCTTGGAGGGAATCTTGTCTCCTGGAGTGCCAAGAAACAACCGACTGTTTCTCGATCCAGCTGTGAATCCGAGTATCGAGCTCTTGCAAACACTGCTTCTGAGGTGATGTGGCTGGTTCACTTACTTCGTGAGCTTCGAGTTCCTACTCTTTCTCCACCTATAATTCTATGTGACAACAAGAGTGCTATCTTCTTAACTCAAAACCCCATTGCCCATAAGCACGCCAAACATATTGATATTGACTATCACTTTGTTCGGGAATTGGTCTCAGCCGGACATCTCTCCACAAAGTTCGTTCCCTCTCACATTCAACTTGCTGATATCTTCACTAAAAGGCTTCCTCGGCCAGCATTTGAATTTCTTCGATCCAAGCTCTGCGTTTGTTTAAACCCCACACATCGCTTGACGGGGGGTAATAATGTTAGTTAAATAAATTTGTATTATACTCTAGTGTTCTCTAGAATTCTCTTATGTAATTACTCCTTGTCTCCTTGTATTTATTAACATTGTAAATCATCATTATAAATAATGGATTGAGTCTCCTCAACTTATTCGAGGAACACAAATATTAACATTATCAGTAGCTGATGTATGGTATATGACTATCTGGGCACCTATTCATGAGGTGGACAACAATTCGGCCCTCCAACCGAGGGAGAGCCGAATTGTCATTTGTCAACACTATTTTTATAATAGGAATTGCACCATGTAATCCTTTCATAAAATCAGAATTTTGAGATCTACATAAGTCTTAGAAGCCGTTTGGTAACACTGTTTTTCGACTTATCAGGCTCATCAACCAACTTTTTCACCAAACACGTAATTTTTGTTTTCGCGCGCTGAATTGTGTAATAATAATAAAAAGTAAGGCTGAAAATACTGTAGATGACCATTTTAGCTATTTTTACATATAATTTTTTCATTATTTTATTAATAAAATATATTTTAATTTTTTATTAAGCAGAATCAGCCATTGCAACCACTTCAGCCAGAACTTCTTAAATTTCGGCAGAATCAGCCGAATCATATGATTTTTGTGTTACCAACAGGCTCTTAAACTCATTTGTTTGAAATCTGAATTTGTTTACTTTTTATTTTCTCTGTTATAGTAATTAAATCATTAGAAAGATTTGCCTAAGTGATTTAACTACAATTTATTTTTCAATGGTGATCTTTTAATGACTTATAGACACACATCAGCCAATCAAGTTAGAATTTTACACACAAAATTTTATTTTACATTCAATCTAATTTTCAGTTACCGATTGGGCCTAAAACAGAATGCGGGAAGTACATATAATACTTTTATTTATTTTATATTTTATTTGATTTTCTAATAAAAACCTAGACATATCACAACCAATATTCAATTCACATTATTTAACTTTTTGAGGTAGGCTGTTAATTGAAATCTTTTAATTGAGAACCAATACAAAACTAATAAATGAAATGTATTTTAAGGTCTATACTAATACACTTTCACTTATCTTTATTAACTAGCGTTTGTTCGCGCAAGGCGCGATAGCTTTTGCCCAATGTTTAAACCATGATCTTTCTTATAAGAGACTATATGTGTGTGTGTGTGTGTGTGTGTGTATGAGATTGTTAAGAGAGTGCATGAAATTATCCAATACTTTTGAGTTTTGATGAGTTGTTTGATCAATATAATTATATCCCCACCACACCAACTATTGAGTGGAAACGTTGCCTATATTTTAAGGATATGTAATTAAAGAAGTGGCTATATTTTTTCCTTTAATTATGAAATAGTTGTAGTGATAATAGGATTTTATAATGACTTGTTAGAGCAGTGTTATTGAACGTAAAACACTAAATTAAATTATGTGAATATTTAGCTAGTATAAGTGTAAGTGTTGAGTGCGTTTATATAGAAGTATAAAAACTATTCGGATCAGTGTTATATCTTTTGTAGGGTAGGTCTATCTCTTGTGGAGTTATATGTATACCTTTCTCAAAAGTTCATTTTGTGTGCTTTCAAAAGTGTTGCTATTGTGTCCTATTTAAAACAAAGAATTTTATCAATCAAGGAGCTGAAAGATAATTCCACAGATAATTTTATTTTTCAAGTTCTAGATTAGTAAAATTCCTTAAAAAAATATTATGGGTCAAATATATAATTGTAAGATGAAGTGATTACCATTCCACATAGGCTCGTCTCTTGACTTGGATGATTCAAAATATAGGCCAATACCCCTATTTTTAGTACTCTAGAGTTCGAAATCCTCAATGAATGGTGGATAATATTTTTATCCTAGGTTCGAAATGGTGTTCTATAACTCATTATGTATGATTTTGTTAATCTTCCAGAGCACTAGAGCACTACAAAATTAGACTTGGGCTCGTAAAAAATTATTTGCGGTTCTCTTCTATATTTTAGCTCAAAGGTGGCCATAATAATATTAAGTTATACCATTTTCCTA